GTAAAACCCGGGAAATTTGAACAAAATCTTGAGACAGATCTCACGATTTTGCACCCGTCGGAGGCGCTCTCCGGACGCCTGCGGGTTGTCGCAGATTTTTTCTACCACACCCGTCGCGGTCCCCAACTTTGAACTTAAATTTTAAGATTGCTCGCAAGATTTTTCACCCATTTTGGGCATCCCAGACACAATCTCCGATGACCTACGATGCCCTCTGATTAATCGGAGGCGTCCTCCGAATAATCTGAGACTAGTACAGTACAGTGTACAGAGAGAAATACAGATGACCGAGGTCAGAAAACCCTCCTTTTCCCCCTCATATACCCAGGGGGAAAAATTACAAGAAAAGACGCTCGCAGATATCGTCTCCGATTGCATCGGAGGCGATCGGAGACAATATCTGCGAGCTAATCCCACGATTTTTCGACAAAACCGGGTCAAAATCCTTGAAAAAATCTCAGACAATGTGACTGCTCCACTTTTATTAGGATTATTGCTAGGATTGTTCAAGGATTCTTTATTTTCTACGACGACCCTCGGCTAAAACTAATCCCCGACAGATCGCCGACATTGTGACTGGGCCATTAGGATGCAACATCTTACGTGACCCAAAAATAAATAGTATATTCACAGTTGTGAGGTACCTGTACGTCTTTTGGTTAAGTAATGGGTTCTGTTATCACCATCATTAAAGTATTGGGAGGTAGGGTTTTCAGCGTTTGACATCAGTTCTTGCATTTTACGGTTTATATTTCCTGTATATGGGCATAAATTCAGGTATTTTTATTAATGCTGTAGGTTATAAAATATTTAAAGATATTCATAAGCATCTGTTTTCAGACTCTACTATTTCTAATTTTATAATAAAATCTTAAATCTTTTGCTATTTTCAAATTTCTTTTATTCTGCAACTAAGATATCGTCTTGATTCAGATTTTTTATTGCAATTCAATAATAAGAATATATATTATAAGAACATTTATAGTTCTAGTTCTGTTGCCTGCTTTTTCTAGTTCTCATTTTCTGTTTTGATTGTGAAAACATCTTCCAATTTCTTCAAGTTGGAAATTTCTGCTTTAGTTGGATTATCACTAGTTGTTGCCTGTCAAGTCTCTAAACCAGTTTCATCAGTGCATCATCACTGACTTCAACATGGTGTTGTGCATTTGGTGTCAGTGCTGTCATAACGGCAGCAGTTACAATGAGAAACATGGTCTTCACCATGGTGTATGCCATTACAACGATTTGTATAAGTAATGTATCATCCTATTCTGGGTCCTTGACTTAAAGTTTAAATATGATATGTTTTTGTTTATATAAAGTGATATATACTGTATGTATCAATTAGTTTGTTTGACACAATTTGATATAAGAGAGCTTTAACTATTTAAGGTGATCTTTTTTGTGTATATCTCTAATGAAGATATTATGTTTTGTGCACATTTAGTATAATGGTAAAAAATGACATGGAAAGGAACAGGAACGCTGTGCAGAAAAGAAAAAAATAAGCTCTTCACAGTTACTTTATTACTCTATAGACACAAACAAACAGATCAAAAACATATAGTTATATTTGGAATCTTTATTTCAATTATCATGAATTAATATATCAAAAACCTAAACTAAATGTAGGTCATTTAAACATTTTTAATTTACTAAATTGCTGTTGAAAATTAAATGGAAATTGCAATTGCCTGTGACACAAAGCTGCCATTGAAGCAGTACTAGCCTAATAAAAATGTATCTTTTCATCAGCAATTTTACTGGTAGCTATATATTCTAGGAATTATCACATTTAAATTCAACATATCAGTGAGCTTTTACTTAGGTTATTATATTGAAAATTAGCACAGGCCAATTCTTGTCTTAGTCACAGCTGTGCCATTCATTCAGCGTATATATTTATTGTCACTGTTGAGTACAGACAACACAGTTCTGTCTAGTTTAAGGTCATCGTAAAGTCCCAATATTATGAACCATATTAAATCTTCTTCACTATTTACTACAGACAACACAGGTCAGTTCTCTTCCATCCACATATGGTGGACAGGGGAGGGAACCACATTTAACCTCAGCAGGATATATCAAAGCACCGTCTTTGTTCTCATGGCCACCAGCCACCACTTCTGGAGCTTCATCAAGGCAGACAAACTCTGTTCTTGCATAGTCATCACGATTTGATACCAGGTATCCATTGTACTCTGTTGTCCACCCAGCTGGACATGTCTTCTTGGCTGGTATCATCACATGACTAGGACGTGTTTGGGTGTAGCATACTGCACAGGGGGCATCATGGTTACGAAAATTCTGATCTCCTGTATTGGATGTTGAAAATATGTTCGGGTCAATTGTCTCATATTCCATACCATGTATAAAAGGACCTAACGCTTGCCCTCCAATTTGGTATTTCCCCCACTCTGGTGTCCGGGCAAACACAAGTAATTACTGCCTCCTCCAGTTTTGTCATAGAAGGTTCCAGCAGATATCCCTGATATAAAAAAGCATAAAAATCCATTTATTTAAAATTTTTAACTTTAACAAGCATAGATGTCAAATTTAACATTTAAAATATATATATATATATATATATATATATATATATATATATATATATTGTCATATACGTCTTGGCCTAAAGCGCCACCTGTGAGTAGTTACAGAAGAATGAGAAAAAAAAGACACGTGTGAATTAGCGTGTTCGTCTTTATTTGACATGGTGTCAGAAGCGGGATAAGAAGTGCCGTGAAAAATCGGACTGAACTATCTCTAGGGGTACTAGAGAGAGAGAGGAAACTCAAATCCATTGACGTAATGGCTAAATTCCATCCTCCGGAGAACTT